TTTTAACCTTCACTAAATATTATCTTGGAAAATGCAAAAAGGTGAAATATCCAATTAAAAGGAAGACTTTACTTATTGTATTAACTATATATTTTTAGAGGTCTTGCTTAATCATGTCCCCTGCTTTGTCCTATTTATCCCAAGCTTTTTGACATATTCCATATTCACTCAGTCCCACCACTCCACACCTAATCACTTTTCCACTTTTTTCTCCCCGCTCATTATACCACAATTTCTTTCTCCCATCAAGGAAAGCAAGGATAGTGCATGCATATATGTGTGGTCTCTTATCAATGGATTTTATACTAGAGAAATACTTCTCAATTTGGGCTGCATCTTAAATCTTCTAAGGCACATGTGAAGTCTTTACTGATGCTGATTTAGTTAGTTTGGGATATGCCTAGACACTGGGATTTTGTAAGTTCCCACAAAATATTCTAATATGCAGCCCAGGGTGAGCACCACTGTACTAAAATATGGAAACCTTAATTTATTCTCCTTTCCATTCTAAATTTATGCTGAACATTTTGGTTCTACATCTGAATTAAAAATATAATATTTTAAAGACTATATCTCTGAGTTTTTCCATTTTTGTAAATGTTTCACTTAGTAAATATAGCTGCTGATTTTGATTAGATCTATGTAGTTGTCTTGGACAAGTGACATTTGTAAAGTTGACACAAGTACTTGCTGCAGTCACCCCAGCCCTACCTCATACCTTCCAAAAACACACTATAACAAGCAGAGATTTCCATGATCTACACAGGGCAGCCTGAGTCCTAGACTCAACATCTGTGGGCCCAGCCATACCTGGCCATCCTGAAATCGAAAACAATCATTTCCATGAACAACTCCATCAGAGGCCCAAAAGCCAGGCCTAGGAAAAGGCCTGGCCATCAGCAGCAAGCCAGTCTATCCTTCTCTGCTTCTGGGGATTATTTTTTTTCTATTTTCACTTATTATGAGCATCTTTTACATGGTTATTTTTCTGGATTTCTCCTTATAATTACTCTGGCAGTATGAATTTTCAGGGCCACTATAGATTTCAAATACATGAATAGAGGTCAAGAAGATATTTTAATTTAGAGCTTAGTGAGGCCCATTTTATTAGTTGGCTAGGGCTACCATAACAAAGTACCACAGACCTGGTGGCTTAAACAATACAAATGAATTTTCTCACAATTCTGATGGCTAGAAATCTGGAATCTAGGTCAGTAGACTTCTTCTAAGTTTCTCTCTTTGGCTAGTAGATGGTCATCTTCTCTGTCTTTATATTATCTTCCTTCTATGTGTGTCTGAGTCCTAATCGCCTCTTCTTATAAGGACACCAGCTACACTATATTAGGTTCCACCCATATGGCTGTATTTTGCCTTAATCACCTCATTAAAGTCCCTGACTCCAAATACAGTCACATTCTGAGGTACTGGGGGTTAGGACTTTAACATATGAATTTTGGGGGACACAACTCAGTCCAGAACACTCATGAAATAAAAGACTTTAATACCTCCTTGACTTTCTTTGGCTTGAATTCTATCTGTCTGAAACCACGCCCATAATATTTGATTTTGTTTTACCTTCTCCAGTACGAGAGTAGAGCCTTACTTTCTGGCAAAGATAAATGTCCATCGTTTTAATATTGTGTGGTGAATGTAGCTGGTAATCTAATCCAACCAAACAAATATAAAGAATCTGAAAGAAGTGTTAAGAAATACAGAACCTATCAAGTTATGTGGTAAAGAAAAGGAAAATGTAAAATAATTTACCTGATTATATGAAAAGTATATTTCAGATAATCTGGGAAAGGTTTGATTTAAAATTTTCTGCGTTATCAGCATTCTAAGTTTGTTTTTGTTGTCAGAATGCAGTTCCAATTGAAAGTTTAAAATATATGGTCACCATATATTGGCATATTTTGCTAAGTTATTTATTTGTTTGGGAAACTGTACTGATCCCTCATCTATGCAAGCTCTTCAATTTGAACTCACAGACAGCCTGCTTAAAAGTACTTCTGTGATGCTTAGTCTATGGGACTTTTTCAATCATTTTCTTAAAGTAATTTACCTAATATTTCTTTCTGGAAAACTTGGGTTTCCACATGTGAAGATCTAGCTAGAGTTCATCAATTCATTAAAATTGTGGCATAATGACAGGGACCTACCTTGAGGTTTGGGCTTGGTCAGTTTGCCACAGGGCTTGGAGATGGTGACAGTCTTCTGGCAGTCAGCATTGTGGAGGGCTCGCTTCAGACTTCCAGTTCTGGTTTTCAGTGCCGTGTTCAGGTCACATTCTCCCCAGGCCTGGAACTGGTATTTGCACTCCGCTAAAGTCAGAGTAAACCAGAAGGACATCTTTGAATCCTATTTTGCTGCCATGATAATAAAGGCAAACTTTTTTTGTTAACTTTACACTGAGTTATTTGTAGATTCATTAACAGTCATAAGAAATAATGCAGACAATTATTACTTTGTGTATGGGTATCGTTTTGTGCTATTTTATCCTGTGTGGAGATTAATATGATCACCATTGCCATTAATATACAGAACAGTTCCAACACAAGTATCCCTTGGGTCATCTTCCACAGCCATGGCCTAGGCAACTTCCTCCCTTCCCACTTCCTTAACCTCTGGCCATTCCTAATCTGTTCTCCAGCTCTAAAATTTTGCTAAATTAAGAATGTTATACAAATCAAATTATACAATATGTAAACCTTCTATATTGGCTCTTTTACTTAGCATAATTTTTGGCAGACATCCAAATTGTGTGTGTCAATTGTCTGTTTCTTTTTATTGCTGAGCCATAGTCTATAGTCCACAGTCCATAGTATGGATATACCACAGTTTAACTGTTCACCAGTTACATTTAATCATTTACCCATTCACGCCTGGGTTGTTACCAGCTTTTGTGGCTACTACAAATAAAACTGCTATATACACTCGTGTCCAGGTTTTTGTGGAACCATAAGTTTTCATCTCTCTGGGATAAATGTCCAAGGCTTACCTCCAAGTTGGTTCTTCCAATTGCAGGGTTCCATGGTGAATGCATGGTAATAATGCAAAATATTACCATATTCTTTTCCAGTGTATGTGTGTCATTTCACATTTTCATTAGCAATTTATGAGTGATATAGTTTCTCTGCAGCCTCACTAACATCTGGATTATCGCCTATCGTTTATTGTAGCCACTTTAATAGGTATACAGTGATATCTCATGATGGTTTTAATTTTAATTTTCCTAATAAAGGAAAATACGCTGAACATCTTTTCAGTATATTTGCCATCTATCTATATCCTTTGCTAAAATATCTGTTAATGTCTTTTCTGCACTTACTTATTGGATGGTTAGATTTTTTTGCTGCTGAGTTTTGAAGAGTTATTAAATATTCTAATTTTGAGTCCTAAAAATGTCTGTTAATGTCTTTTCCCCACTTATTTATTGGATTGTTAGGTTATTTTACTGTTGAGTTTTGAAGAGTTATTTAATATTCTATTTTTGAGACTTTTAAAATTAACCTTTTAACTTTGTGTAAGTAGGTCTTAAGGCGCTTATGTACAATTTATGTTCTGATGTATCTGAACTCCATTATGCCTTTAGAGAACAAATTTCCACTCGAATAAATATACCAAAGGTTGAAGCAAAAGCAAATGATACATGTGTATTTATTTACTGTTCTTCACTTATCTGTAGGCCATTGTGCGTTTCTGTAGGACACATGTAGGACTTGGGACATTATGTCCTACATGACAAAGAAAGACAAAAAAGTCTGGAAAGTGGAATAAACAGGTTATTTGGGAGTCTGATCGTGGGTTTAAAGTTGAAAGTGTTGAGAGATCCCATCTCAAATAGATGGATAAGGCTGCATGAGGCTGACTATAGTCAGTCAGAGAAAAGTTTATGAAAAGTGAGCACCACCAGATGAATTCCATAAGTAAATCCATGAACCTGTGTGGGAGATGGGGAGGGATCCAGAGAGAAAGGGTCTGAGAGTGACAGAGGAAGACAAGGAGGAGGAGAATAAACAAGAAAAAAGAAAAGGAAAATAGAAGAAACTTAGAAATAGAAGAAGGAAAGAAAAGAGAGAGAAGATAGATCAATGAATACCATTAATCAAGGGCATATTTTATGTCCCTGTTGCTTAGGCAGTGGTTCTCAACCAAGGATGATTTTGATCCCTGGAAGATATTTGGCTGTGAATATCTGAAGACATTTTCAGCTTTCACAACTTGTAGGTGAGGAGTACTTCTGGAAACTAGAGAGCAAAAGGCAGAGGTGCTGTTCAACGTCCTACAATGCTCAAGACAGCCTTCACAACAAAGATTACCTTCCCAAAATGTCACTAGCAATGTCTGGTCAATTTGTATCTGATAAAGTAAACTAATTTAAATTAAATAAACAAATAAGTACTAAAAATGACAACTGGATAAACCTCACAAAGATAATTGGTAGATAATTTGAGAATTATCTCAGAGCAGGAGATTAAAACAACAGGACAGCAGGGTGAGGCTCACCTCCAAACTGCTTTTTCCAGTTGCAGGGGATCTTGCATCTCTGGGTCTTCATGGTTTGCTTACACTCAGCGCCAGTTCGAGTGCCCTCCCGTGTACCCAGCCCACAGTCCCCACTGGTAGGCACACACACACTCCACTGCCATTCTCCACAGTCAGACTTCTTCACTTTTTTTTCTGGAATAAAGGAAGAAAAAACATCCAACATTCAGAAAACTCTGCAACGCCTAGATATAAGTAAGTTCACTCCTCAGCACCTTGATGGGAGGGTCCGTGCTTATTGTCACCTATAACCTTATCATCCAGTGAATAGCAGAAAAATGACAGATGTTCACCAGATGATGGAAGCAATTATCAAGAAAAGAAAGAATGAAAACTGAGGAAGAAGCTAGAACTAATATTAATCCAACTCTTACCATGTGCCAGGAACTGTGCTAAGTGATTTACTGATATCTTTTAGAAGCAAACATTTCTATAAAAGAGATCTCCAAAAATAACTAAGTTTAAAAAGATGAGAAAACATTAGATTAAAAGTAAAGTTGTCAAATGAGCCATTTCAGTGCAAACTGATGTTCCTTTCTCTGTCTTGTAGATGGAATGGCATAACAGAAATAGGATGGATCACAGACTCAAATAGACTACTTATGGGAGTGGCACGGAGAATGTGCTTTGTCCATTCTAAGCTTCAGTTTCCTTCTTCATAAATCTGAGACAATAAATAAATAACTTTCAGAACAATTTTTTTTGTTTGTTTGTTTGTTTTGAGTTGGAGTCTCACTCCATTGCTCAGGCTGGAGTGCGGTAGCACACTCCTGGCCACCGCAGCCTCGACCTGCTGGGCTCCAGCGATCTTTCCACCTAAGCCTTCCAAGTAGCCTGAACTACAGGCGTGTGTGCGCTACCACACCCGGCAAATTGTTGATTTATTGAGGAGACGAGGTCTCGCCAAGCTGCCCAGGCGGGTCTCGAACCCACGGGCTCAGGCAATCCACTCGTCTCAGCCTCTCAAAGTGCTGGGATTAGAGGCTGAGCCACCAAGCCCAGCCTAGAACATTGTTTTTTGAGGAGGAAAGGTAGCATAAGCAAAGTACTTGATTGCCGGTCAATGTTCTATACATTGTAGCTGCCAGTTTGATCATTATGCTAACAATCATTAATATCTACACTCCAGGACTTTGAGTGGGAGAAAAATAGCAGGGGATTTTTTTTAGGTTCCTCTAAGTAATTAGAAAAAAGTTAGGAAGGTGGAAGGTAGGGAAAAGGGAGGAAAGGAAGGTAGTTGGGCTGGATGGACATTAATCAATGAAGCATCTTGCTTTCTAAGCCCTACTGCTTACCTGGTTTCTCTTTCTTCCCAGCTTCAGTGGTGCCCACAGCTGCCAAAATGAAAATGAATACCAAGAAGGCAGCTGCAAATTTTCGACGCTGCTGCTGATACTGTTGAGACTGCATTCTAGGAATAAACAGAGAAAAAAGATGGCATTAACTTGAGTCAGGGAGGAAGACTCATTGAACTCTTTGATGAAGGGCTCCACTTTTCATTTCTGGAATGTTAGATTTTAGGAAGATTCGTATAGATTGTCTTGGGCAGAATTTTATCTTTTCTCATCAATAGCTACTGAAATAAGTGCTCTTCTGTAATAAGTCACATATTCACTGACACACTGCAATAGCTTTCCACATAATACTTTACAACCACATGCTAAGTATGACTCAGGAATTATGGAAGCAAAAGAATTTTGAAGACACATATTTGAGCACGCTCTTACAGTAAGTCTTGCTGATGCTTCTGCTTGGTAATATCAACAACTATAGCTATCTTCCAAGTCCCTGATAATTCTAGAAACAATGATGTTGTCATGATACTACAGTTCACAGGGCCAATTAGAATGGGCATGATGAATAGATTATCTGTACATGTTTACTGTTTATCTTACATGCATACATAATAACTGATATCCCGGAGTTTGTTAGTATTTTCCATGATCATTATCATTATCCTACCATTACTCTATTATTTATTGATTGGTCAAAGAGTAAAGCCCAAGATGAGATCTGGCATACTTGACATCTATCACATGCACTTATAAACTCATATGTGCTAAATATTTCACTCATAGTTTGAAATTCTGCATATTTGATGTGAATCAAAATTCCAAGGTAACATTAAAAAGACTCCCCCCAGAATGTAACTCCATCCATGACAATCTGGCATAAATATGGTCATCTGGTCAATACACCTTTGGGGAAGTCTCAGTCCAACGCACAGGACAACCCACTTCCCAATGACTACACAAAATCAGGGCTACAGCAACTTGCCTGGCAGTTATTTTTCTTCATCTGCTATATTAATAGTGTTTTATACTTCATATAAAAATGAGAGTAATGACCCATGGTCATTAGCCTTGGGGATATTTTTCCAGAAGTGGTAATAGATTAGTTTACATGTTTTATGTTCTCCTTCGTGTCAACAATAAATCCATCATGAATATAAGGGCATGAAATCATTCTGTTCTGTAATTTTTTTTCTCTTCCAAAAATATCTATGACATGATATCCTTGTCAATGACTTTATCTCTTATTAGGGTGTCGGTAGGTGTTTTTTTGATTAATGAATTTGAATTTCATTGTATGAATAAAGCATATTTTACCTACCAATTAAAATTAATATTTTGGTCATTGAGTTCTTTTACAAATCACAAGCCCTGACTAGCTACTCACTATCTCCAACACCTTCTACAATCTAATGTTTTGTTCTTCCTCCTAATACTAAATTCTCATAATTATGCCTCATGAATGGTCACACAGAAAAGTTCCTATTGATTCTGATGCTTCTTCTATGCTTTTCATTAAGCATGAATGATATGAGAAGCCAGTCTAGACTTAATTTGCTTGCAAGTCTTTTCAGAGTTTTCAGACTTAAATGCTCTGGGACATCTATATTACTATACCTTCTAATCATATATACAAATATTATTTAAAATTAGTAGGTAAGCCGGGCTCGGTGGCTCAGCCTGTAATCCCATGCTTTGGGAGGCTGAGGTGAGTGGATTGCCTGAGCCCACAGGTTCGAGACATGCCTAGGTAACTTGGTGAAACCACATCTCTACAATAAATCAAAAAATTAGCCGGGTGTAGTAGCGCATGCCTGTAGTTCCAGCTACTGGAAGGCTGAGGCAGAAGGATCGCCGGAGCCCAGCGGGTCAAGGCTGCAGTGGCCGGGAGCGGAAACTGCACTCCAATCTGGGTGACAGAATGAGACTCCAACTCAAAAAATAAAAAATAAACAAAAATAAAATTATTAGGTAAAAACTAAAGTGGGGGGACCCAAAATGTATTTAATTTTAAAATTGTGTATTTATTCTTATATGTTTAAACTTTAGCCACTTTCAAAGTACTCTCCATTTGAACAACATACCTATCAAGATGCTTTTTCCATTGCTCAAAACGGTTTTTGAACTTGTTAATTTTGACGTCTTGTTATGCTTCTGCCTTTTTAAAAAAATCTTTTCCACATCAGCAAAACGTTTCCCTTTGAGGACTTTTCTCATTCAGGGAAACAACAACAAAAAAGTCACTCAGAGCAAGATTGGGTGAATAGAGAAGGTGGAGCACCAGGGTCATGTCGTTTTTGGTCAAAAACTACTGAACACTCAACGTGGTGTAGGTAGATGTGCTCATAAATCACCTTTAATGAAATGGGCAAACACATTGAAAAAAATCTCCCCCCCTAAAAAATTCACTGAAGCTGAACACAGCCTCTCAAAACAATGCTAGCTGGTGCATGGATGCCTATGGGTTCCTAGAACATTTAGCTAGTGGGGAAAGCCTATACTAAAAGGGACCTGCTCTCCAAAAGATAATTCTGGGTTTTTTGGAGTCCCCCTTCATAAATCAAAGTGTAAGTCTTTTAACTTTTCCCAAATGCTGTCTGAGAGCCTTCTTTCTGTGACCAGGCACTGTGGAGGCAGAAACTTGTCCAGTTTTCTTAAAACCCTAGTTCACATTTTAATCCAGAACTTTTAAATTGTATGTCTTTCCAGGTTAGGATATGCCTTCATGCTCAACAAGTCTCTACAAATACCTGAAGTATTTAGACTGTTGTAAACTAGATTACACAATAATGTGAAAAATCATGGAGAAAGCACAGTTCTTGAGAGAACTTTCTGACCAAACAATGGAATAATCATCCATAGTCATGTAACACATGCAGTAGGAAGAGAGGGCAGAGGCACCTCAGAGTTGACTGAAGAAACACGACCATTTGTAGAAACGGAAAGAACACTACCTCCCACAAATAACACACACACACACACGCACACATGCACGTATATATATATACCAGAGTTATTACTGGAAGGGTGGTATCACTGGTGAGTTTTAACCTCAGCATTTCTAGTTTTACATTACTAAGCTCTTATTTTCACCATTATTTTCAAAAATATTTCTTATTCAAGTTACATGCATTTATTAAAAAAGAAAAAACCCAACGCAAATAGAGCAGAATTTCCTGATCATATACATTTTTGAGTCATAAAGTAGTTGTTATAACTGAATATGGGCTGAGTGGAAAGAAGGGAAGGGAGGATTTGCATGGAAGTTGGAGAGAGAATAAAATAGAAACACACTGTTTGCTTCTGAACAATTCAGAACCCTAAGAAGTGGTATATTTCAGCTCTTAAATGTTCTAGGGAAAAAATGGACACAAGTCCATGTGTACGAGTCACCTGCGAAAAATATGTGATAAGTGACCGCTTTCAGTTATAGGTTATCTTTCTTCCCAATTTCTTCCCTGCTTCCTCCTATTTTGTCTATCATTCTACTTAATCCTACATTTTGATAGCTTAGATTTTGGGGGCAGAGAAAATGTTAAGGTTTTCTTTAAAGAAGAGAGTAACAGGGTTTAAAAATGTAGTGACTAAAATTATTCAAAAATTCCAGTGTGCCCGAACAATACCCAATTAGTCTGCTGGTGCCTTGTTGTTGTAATAAATACTCAAGTAATTAGTATATGTGTAGATGATAGTTCCTCTTTCTGGTGATATTTGCATAGTTGATTGTTTATTTTTCCCTAGCACCAAATAAAGGCAAAAGCTCTCCCTGTGTAAAGTTTAACCCTGCCTATTCTCCAGCAAACTGAGTGCCAACTGAGTGCAGAGGGAAAAACGTTGATCTTGAGGAAGTAATCAGGATCATGACATATTTTTTACACTGAGGAAAATAAAACAGTGGAAGAACAAAGGCTTACTAAATGGGCTAACATCTTCAGAATATTTTACTTCCTTCTCACCAGCTTCTACTGCCATCAATCTTGTACTGGCCCTAAAAAATTTAATTTCATGAGGCTTAACAATTAAGTTGAAGGCTACCATAGGTAAGTGCTGGCATCTGGAACTTACTGTTGAGTTATCTCAGTAAAGTCTGAAACCTATTGATTTTTAAAATATTAAAACTAATTAAACCAACTCTAGGGGAAAATTATTCATTTATTTAATCCCAGTCCCTTCTTTAGAGAAATAACTGATTGGAAGGAAAAGAAAGTTCTTCTTTCCTTTAGCATTTTAATCAGATCTAAAATTTTTAAGATGGTAGTATCTGGTGTAACAGCTAGAAACTGTCCCTCAATGACTCATTTGGAAGATTAACATAACATTTGAAGGAAGAAGCTTTGTATCAAACTTCAGTAACACCATTTACTTCCTGGGAGTGTCCTTGGGAAAATAATCAAATCACAACCAATTGAACCATTTTGAAATTTGCAGAGTAGGTGTGATTAAGATGACTTCTTGAGATGCTTGAAGAATTCAAGATGCAGACATAGAGATAAACCAGAATATTAAGAAATATAGTACTAGTTACAGAATAAAGTTAAAGTCATCCCTGTACCTTCATTACTTACTGCAAAAAGTGCTTTTTTTAATTGAAAAATAATAAGCATTATACTTTGCATTGTCTAGTATTATCCAACAGCAAAAAATAAAACAATACAAAAAGAGAGAGAGAGAGAGAGAGAGAGATTATTTAATAAAGCCAACTAAAGCCTTATTCAACTTTATCAGGACATAAATTCATTCTGCCTTTACTTCTTGGAAGCTTAATATAAATCCAACAACCTTCCTCCCCAGTATTTATTTTGAGTTTACTAAAGACAAGAGATCCAATACTGACAATTGGGAAATATGTCAATGCAATTTAACTTGTATGAAATGAGAAAAACCATCTTAGTGTGTAACTATATTTTATGGCCTTCTTGTGGTAAAATTATTCCACCACCCTCTTTTTATGTAAAATACCTAAGATTTAAGCATAGCTGCCTGCCATTAAGATTTTTGCTGGTGTAAAATATCACAAAACATGGCATTAAACTAAGAAATGAATATTTGTGATAAAATGTCTCAACCCTTTGTTGATACCCTGGGACATTCACTTAAGAAGTTGGGCAGGAAAAAGCAA